AATAATATATATTAAAATAATAGTTATATCTATTATCTTAAGTGAGCGATAAAAAAGAACAATAGTTGAGCTTATCTTTCTTTTTGTTAATTCTTACAGAATTATTTGAATATATTTCCCACTCATGACATTGTTTTTGTTTATATTAATAGAAAGCAGACAATGAAGCTGAACAATCAGATGAGGAAGAAGAAGAAGAGGAGGAATCTGAGGAAGAATCCGAAGAATCAGAATCTGAAGAGAGTGAAGCTGAAACAGAAAGTGAAAGTGAAGCAGAAGTAAGTGTAAAAAAATAGATAATAGTTTTTTTAGAATTACCATTAATTAAAATTTTTGTCTTACAGGACGCAACAAATACTGACAAGAAAAATAATTTGGAACCACGTGTGAAGAAACATGAAAGCCGCCTATCAGCCATGAAGAAATGCAATGTCCTCTTACAAGCAAACGTAGATAATTTACAGGATGAAATCACACAAGTACGCGCCAAAGCAGCCAATTTACAAGCCGAATTAGACGCAGTACTGGCAGATTTAGGATTTTAAATTATAAACGTTATTTTAGCAGAGAATTTATTGTGTTAACTGTTTTGCTTTTTTTTTAGGTATTTTATATTCTAATTGACATGTATTTATTAAATATAATAACAATAAAACATATATATGTTAAAAAATAAAATAGTTTGGCTTACCTGATTTGTGTTATAGTTTTATATTGATAAATATGAATATTTATAATATAAACTGCAAAAACGTGTTATATTAACACCAATTCACAAAACTTTAAGAAATTTCACGTACACCGGTAGTTTTGCTGCTCCAACAATGTTTACTTCTGCTGTAGTAAGAATCAACAGAAAACAATTTTTATTAAATAGAAAGCAAATATATTTTTTAAAACAAATTGTTATTAATAATTTTGCACTTTTTTATTAAAACTTTACAAAAGCAAATTAAAATCCACAACACAAAAACAAAAATGTTTGTTTTTAAATTTGGCACCGGCCATATGTCACTACGTGGTTGCTATGACAACTACAGCTGTTCGCATTGCCAATATTAGTACAATAATTTTGAGAAATACAATTCGCACTGAACGTACGCCTTGTAGAATGTGTGTGTGTATGTTCATTTGTTTTGAAGCGTAATACAGTGCTTGCAAGTAATAAATTTTGCTGCTGCGTTTATTTTCAAGCCTTTAGTGTTAAATTATTTAATAATGTAATATTTTATAAAAGATTTACTGAAAATATAAAAACAAAATGCTTGTAATGTGCTATTATAAGTACATGCAAGCGTTTTAACGTTATTCGGCATGTGCAAACGTACGCAGACATTTTAGCAAAAATCGATTTTTCAAAAGTACGTTACCATAAACGCTTTAAGCATTTAAATTAAATTTAAAGGTAGTACATAATTTTTTTTTGTCAAAAGCTTTATTAAATAATTGAATTTTTACCTTTTAATTAAAGTTAGCCAAATTAGTGATACGTAATAGTAGTTAAAAAAATGTAATTAGTTATAATCCTTAAAACCATACAACGATACGTGATAACATAAACCAAACGAAATGCCTGAAAATTTGGAATTACATCAATTTGTGGACGGTTTTCGTCACAGTGAAACCAGAAATCGTTGGCTATCACGCATTAAGTCGAAACTAAACTGTCCTTATTTAGGAATAATACTCGCTACACTCTCATCCTTATTTTTCTCACTTTGCTCCGTTATTGTCAAAGGTCTAGTTGATATCAATCCTATGGAATTAGCATCCTTTAGGTAATGTAATTCGTTAATCTTGTAATAATTATTTGAAAATTATAATTCACAGATTTGTTGGTGTGTTACTTCCTGCAATACCAATTGTCATCTATACTAAGCAACCCGTCTTCCCTGAAGGTAAACGTGTAATATTGCTCTTGCGTTGCTTTATGGGCACAACTGGTTTGATGCTCAGTTTCTATGCCTTCCGCCATATGCCACTGGCTGATGCCAGCGTTATTATATTTTCGACGCCAGTTTTTGTTGCCATATTTGCGCGCGTTTTCCTCAAAGAACATTGCAGTTTATTTAATATTTTAACTATAATATTAACACTGGTGGGTGTAGTACTTATCACAAGACCACCATTCGTATTCGGCCAACAAGCAACAACAGATGTGAATTTGGAACGTTTGGACGGGAAACACTATGATATTTGGGGTCCAGTTGCTGCTATATCCTCCACACTATTCGGTGCCAATGTTTATATACTACTGAGAGCACTTAAAGGCTTACATTTTTCAGTGATTATGACAAATTTTGGTGCATTTGCATTAATTTATACAATAATAGTGTGTGGCACAATTGGTGCCATATGTTGGCCAGCATGTGGGCGTGATCGCTGGTTAGTTGTTGTATTAGGTATATTTAGTTTCTTGGGGCAAATATTGCTCACACTATCGCTACAAGTGGAACAGGCTGGACCAGTGGCCATAGCACGTTGTGCTGATATCGTTTTTGCTTTTATATGGCAGACAATGTTTTTTGGTGAAACTCCCACAGGATACTCACTCGTTGGCGCAATGCTGGTTGTCAGCAGTGTTATATTAACTGCTCTTAAAAAATGGGCGCTTTCGTTGCCACGCGAATCAACGGCACGTAAACGTTTACGTTATTTGCTATTGGATTAAAAATTACTCAAGCTTTTGTGCGTTCACGAAACACAGAAGCAAGCATTGTGGTTTCTCTCATAGTTAATTAATTTAAGATATACTTATAAATATTAAGTTATATACGTATATATATATTTAAGTACATATGTGTTTCTGTATGTAATCAAATTTTTTAGTCAATTTTTTTTGTTTGGATTTGTTAACTAACTAAACAGAGGCTCGTTTATTTATTTATTATTTTTATTAACTCATATATACATAAACGTCAAATAGTATTACTGATGTGATTTATGTACTTAAGTTGTCTAAGTTTTAAAGTAAATTCACGTTGAATTAGTGCAATTGTAATCAAATCTTTAAATTAAAATATCGACTATGTAGTAGGTTATTAGCCTGCATATGTATATGCTCAAGACAGTTTAACTTTATTGGTATTAGCTTGCATGGAAATATATTAAAATTAAATCATAAAATATTAACTATTTTATCAACTAAAAATTTTCTACAAGATTGTAAAAAATTTTAAAATTAACTAGAATTTTTTTGACCAGTAAGACTTTCACTAATGGGAGTTTCTTTGTTCGTTTTTTGTAAGAACAATATCAAATTTAGCAAAATTATATAATATATAAAAAAATGTATATTTATTAAAATAATAAAATTTACTCTACTAAAAACTTTAAGCGTTTCTTTTTAAATTGCAATAAATATTATGGCCTAAATAATTGATATTTTATTCGACATGTTAAGGATGATACAGGATTTTATATTAAAAGTATGTAAAAATATGGCGATATAATTAAAAGGTCTGTTGCACGAGCTACTCGTTGTAACTTTGAGTAACACTGTGCATATGCAAATGCGTTCCATCAGCAAATTTTCGAGTAAATGAGAGCATCTGAGAGAGCATAACATCCCTGACGAAATTTGAAAATGCTACACCGACTGTACTCGTATATTTTATTTCAAGTAAAATTTGTGTGATGTGTGAATCAGAATCAGTTTTGGTTTGAATTTAAATTCAAATAACACGGCACTGGTGTTCTCACCAGATTTTACACAAAGCTGTTCCATGAAAATCTGTGTAAAGATCGTTGGTTACACAGGCCAGCAATTTCTTAAAGTTATAATTACGAACCCCGTAACTATATATGTCTTAATATTAATAATGGTTGATAAAGGCTGTTTGGAATATGGTATGAAGATCAAATATTCCAAATGTTGTAACGAATGAATTTCGGATTTTACGTTTTTTGTACAAAGCTAGTTGCCTGTTTAAAAAAATATCCCATTTCTTTATATAAAAGGTAGTCAGAATATAATAGGTGACAAATTGTTTTCATATCAAGAAGTAGATTGCAATATAAATAATTACTTTAACTCATACGGTCATTCAATTCACTGTACCATACGAGTGAAGGTGTTTAAATTATGAATAATGTGAATTGGTAAGGTTATGAGTCTATTTGAATATTAGCTAAAATCGATTGTATACGTCAAAAACCATATTGAACATATCGTTTGAAGAAATTAGAGTCTGTAATGTCGTAAAATTATCTATAAACAATTAATTTGAATATTTAGGATACTATTTTCTTATCCATACTTTTTATATTATATAATTAATAGTAAAAATAAAAATTAAAATTTAATAACTAAAAATGACTATATAATTAATTAACTTAATCAGTCTACAGCTGGTTCATGATTTTGTTTTAATGTAACACAGCAAGTAAATTTGATAATGAACATTCACAGCAAATTAACAAAAAACGCCAAGTATATTTGAAGTACGGCTTTGGTTCAGTTAACTAATGAACACTGACTCTAAGCTTTGAATTTTGCAGGGATCGAATTCAAACGTTAGGGACTTGCAGTCTCAAAAATTATATACGAATACGATGATGGGTATTTGGCAATACCCGATATATAACTTACGTGGATATCAAAAACATAATACATCCGTTTCATGCGGACAAACTGTACTTTAAAGTGTCAAATTACACTCTTTACACAGATTTTCATGGAAGAGCTCTGTGTAAGGTCTAATGCGAACACCAGTGTACGCACAAATAAATAATACAAAAATTTGAATTCAAACCAAAACAGCTGATTCACACATCAACACAAATTTAACTTGAAATAAAATATACGAGTTAAGTCTGTATAGCATTTTCAATTTCAACAGGGATGCTGTGGTCTCTCAGATGTTCTCATCATGAGATACAAAACACATAAATCATAATTTTATAAGAGCTTTAAAAGGAAATATATCAAAAATCAGTTGATCAGCGTTAAGAAATAGAGGAATTTAGATTCTTTTAAATACTAACAAAAACTAGAGTAACCAAACAATTTAAATCTATATTTCATGTAATATATTAATTCTATTAATCGAATTTTTCAATTAACAATTCAGCTGTGAAAAAATATATTTGTTGGCTTTACATTTGTAATTTAAATGGTTTATATATGAATGTGATAGAACTAAAATCGCTTGTTTTCAATGTTTTAAAATTCTTCTAGAGAAACCGAGTAGTAAGTGATTGAAGTGAAAAAATTTACTTTAAAAATCTTTAAATAAATTATTAAATAAATTAATTAATAGTTATAATAGAGAAACAATCTACAGTTTCCCTGGAGATGACTATTGAAGATAGTCGATATATCGGAAAAATATTTTAATAAAATATTATTTGTATTTAAATATAAATAATAAATTATATTTTTTTTATTTCTATTTAAATGATATATTATACCACTAATAAGTTATTAGAAAGCGTTAATGATAAAATAATTCTAAAATGAAATATGTTCAAATTATGTGCTGAACATACCCTATCATTAATATTGACACGTTTTCTAAAATCTCCAGTGACTGTAAAACTGTTTACTGTCAACTTGTCGACTTGTTAAAAAATTAAAACTGATTGTGATATCATAACAACGAAATTTACGTATAAAGTTAAATAGGAAAAATTCTAAATAAAAAAACAAAAATTAACAATATAAGTTCCAGTACAATGTCTGAAGGTAAAAGTAAATTTTTAAGTAAGGTGCTGGTAGTGTCTGCCGGATTGGGATTGTTATACATAATATCACGAAATAGACGTAAAATTTTTTCAATTTTTAACAAACACGGACACCCACTATATGGCCAAAGAATTGAATTAGTTGATTCTGTAGAAAAATGTGATGCTGTAGTTGCAGATTTAAAAAAGTAAAACAAAAAACTATCATAAAATAAAATACAATTAAATTTCTCTTCATTTTTAAATCAGGCAATGCATTAAGAATCCGGTTTTAGGATTTGACTGTGAGTGGATTACCGTAAATGGCAAACGCAGACCTGTAGCCTTATTGCAGTTGGCAACAGACAATGGTTTATGCGCCCTGTTTCGCCTGTGTCATCTTCGTCCCATACCAGTATGTTTACGTGAATTGTTACTAAATGATCGTATTCTAAAAGTTGGTGTGGATTCGCATGAAGATGCCAAAAAGTTGGCTTTTGACTATTCTCTTTGTGTATCGGGTACATACGATCTGCGCTTCTTAGCAAAGGAAAACGGATATAAAGCAGAAGGTTTAGCGAAATTAGCTAAAAGTCATCTCAATGTGGTACTTGACAAAAATTGGCGCCTATCTTGCTCAAACTGGGAGGCAGTAGAGTTGACTTCGGCGCAGTTAAACTATGCCGCCAATGATGCACTAGTTGCTGTCAAAATATTCAATAAACTCTTTTCACAATTAAAGAAAACGTGTGTTATTTAAATTCATAAATTATTAAACTGAAAGTAATTTTTGTTTATTTGTAGATGGTACGAAAGGACCGACTACATGGCCATACATCAACTTTTAGAATACCAAATTGATACACGGTTCAATGCTAAACTTGAAAACCGGCGAAAATGCTCGCCCATAACTGATACAGCAGAAAAAGGTAATCAAATAAAGCGTAAAACGTATACTGGCATACGTGCTAGTAATTTATATGATAATACACAGTTACAAGCACCCGACGGAGAACTGTTAGGAGTGATTGACTACAAAAAAGCCAAATGGTATATAGACAATGGTTTAGCTATTGAAATTGCAACAAATCCATATATTGCGCGTCTTAACTTCGAACCCGCAGCTCGTCCAGTTGGTAGTGTAGGTCAGTATTATAAAATATCTAAAGATAATCAGTGTGTTGTGTGTGGTAAAACAGACACATTTGTACGCAAAAATGTTGTGCCACGTGAATACAGAAAACACTTCCCTGGTAAGCACAAATAATTTTATAAAATGTTCATTTTAATTATAAGTTTTTGTATTTAACAGATGTCATGAAATCGCATAGTTCACATGATGTTCTATTGCTATGTCCGCAATGCCATGAAAAGAGTAACATATCTGATCTAGCCATACGCACTTATTTAGCCAATCTATGCGATGCTCCAATCTCCCATAATAACACAGCTATTAAATCTTTTGAAATACCAAAACTAAAGTAATATTATTTATATACAGTTTCTTACTTTCAATTTTAATTAAAATACTAAGTTTAATATTGATTAATAATAATATTATTTATTTATAGATCAGTGAAATCTGCCGGACGCGCAATTTTAAATCATTCAGAGAAGCTACCAGAAGCGCGAAAAAATGAACTGCTTGAAGTTTTAAAAAATTATTTTAGTTGTGATAACATTGACGAGGATCAATTGCTAATAGCTTCTGAATTAAATACAAAGTAAGATATTGCCTAAAATTTTATTTCCATTTTATTTTATCGGGTTTTATTGAGTGAAGCTAAGGAAGGCATATGAATCGATGATCCATTAATGTATATCCAAAGTAATATTTCTTTATAAAAAATTATTCCATTGGGTAATGCCCCTCTTCACACCTTTTCTTCATCAGTTTATATGCACATAAGCTTGGCTTTGCTTTTAAATGTAATGTAAAACTATTTATAAAAATAATTGCTATACATTTTTTAATTAATATATAATTATATTATTAATGTATATTTTTCATAAGAAATTAAATTATTTTTATTATTAATTAATTTTTGTTATTAATTTAATTTTTATTATTAATTTAATTGTTGTTAATTGAATAGTTTATATAAGTTAATAGGTATTTGTTAATTGATTAATTTTTGTTAATTAATTAATTTTTATAATTAATTAAGTTTCGTTGATTTATTTATATTGGTTAATAGGTGTGTGTTAGTTGACTAATTTATATTAACTAATTAGTTTTTGTTAATTAATTATTTTTATCAATTAAGTTTTATTAATTAATTATTTTTTATTAATTAATTAGGTTTTATTTGAGTTATTTATATTAGATAAAAGGTGTTTGTTTGTTAATTAATTTATATTAATTAATTAATTTTTATTAATTAATTAATTTTTGTTAATTAATTAATTTTTGTTAATTAATTAATTTTTGTTTATTAATTTTTGTTAACTAATAAATTTTTATTAATTTTTTTTAATTATTTTTATTAATTAATTAATTTTTGTTGATTGATTAATTTTTTATTAAATTAATTTTTATTAATTAATTTTTGTTTATTAATTAATTTCTATTAATTAACTAATTTTTGTTAATTAATAAATTTTTATTAATTGTTTTTTGTCATTAATTTATATTAATATCAATTAATATATGTTGTATTCAATGTCTCTTGTCATTTGAATAACATTAAACAAAAAAATTTTTGTTTTTTTCTGCTATTAATTAATTATATATTACGAATGTATTATTTTCAAACTTTAATAATACAATTTTTCACATAAATAAAATTTAACTATTTCCTTCTTTGTATTTCATAGAAATTAATTTATTTATCTTATAATATTATTATTATTAATATTAATATTATTAGTATTATAATATATTATTATTAATATTAACATTATTAGTATTATAATATAAATGAATATAATATTATAAATATTCATTTAGTATTTTATAATTAATTTTATATTTCTTCTCTCACTTTATGAAACTTAACTGTATAATTCTTTATATAGAACTGAATGTATTGTAAAATAAAATGTATTTAAAATGATAAGTATCAAGCAGTATCGAAATGTTTTTTTTAAGTATCAAGTAAAACTATATATTGTTGCCTATACAATATATTTTTACTTAAAAATTTTTTTTTTTATAATTTTTTAGTTTACACATGTAGTTCTTATTATGTATGTAGTAATATAATTTTACATATATTTATAAAAGTGAAAGTCTTTATACCATTAGCTTTTTTTTAATTAATTAAAATGTTTAAAAAATATATATTATATTGAAGTTTATTAGAAATTTTAAGATATTATTAAAATTTTCTATAACTTATGATTAACTGTAACGAATTGCTAATCAAATCAAAATATTATTAATCAAATGTATTTTTAGGCTAGTTTTACAGTTATTTCCAATTCCGCTAGATATTGAACATCAGTGGGCTTTGAAAAGATTTATTCATTTTATTGTCTTTATATAATTATTGCGCTACAAGTGTCAGGAATCGAACTCAGGCAAATTTGAAGTGTAGATTCAGTTTGCGCTATTCAAAATTCAAGTATAGTTTAAGTATAGTATTTATAGTCTTTCAAATAAGTATAAACTCGCTAATGTCGTCTTAAAATATTACATAATGTATCTTTTTATTTATTATGTGTAATCTTTTCTATTTTAGTCTTGATAACCCAGATTATTGTCAACATGGTGAAAAGGTAGTAGAAAAATATTGTAATGAATTAGGCGGCTTGGTTACACTTGAAAAATTATGGCGTGAACACTTCTTAAAAACAATGGAACCGAGATATTTACCGGAACTTTGGGATGTAAATCATAACGCAAATCGGTAAAATATTAATATATTGTTTATAAATAAATTTTAAAATATTTCAACCATTTAAGTTTAGAAATTCGTGCTCAGGAAGGTCGTCTAAATGAAATAGATATGTTAAAAGCTGGCATTAAAAACTCAAGCTCTAATGAGAAAAACCACTAACAAAATTCTGGACTCTTATTATTTTAAAATAGTATAAACACATCTTTAGTACAAAATCAATAGCTTTAATAATTTTGTTTTAATTAATTTCTCATATTATATTTAAGATTTTTAATGTGAAAGTAGATTGTCTCCTTAGGAGCAATTAACTTTGCGTCTTAAAAAAATTTCATTTGATAATTAATTTTTGAAATTATTAAAGCTTATAAACATTATTTTAAATAAACCAACTTCAAGTAGCAATTATCAATTTTTTTAAATTTTAAATATTTTTAACTTTTTATATTTAATTTTATGTTATTGTGCAATTTTTATACAACAAATATCGTTAATGAAATGCAGTCAATATTAATATTTATTCGACTAAATAGAAAGAAGAATATTTATTCTATGTTCTATGTAATATTTAAATTTCAATATTCTCTAAAAATGTTTCATAAATAAAAACTCTATTATATATAATAGGTATATGCTTTATTTTTATTGCTTTTTTCGTTCACTAACACATACATATGACGCATATTATATATTATATAAACAAAAAGCACAAAAATTATATTAACTAATTTCGGTTTTTATTAAAATTGAGACAATACATAGATAAAATAAAATTATATAACACAGCTAATTTGGCTTTTCAATATTTATACAAGACAGATGCAACAAAGCACTTAAAATAATTACAAAAACATATTTTTTATCGAAAATATTTACACAACTGATTAAATGTGGCACCATTTACTTAAAGATACTATCAGAAGCTACTTAAAGTAATAACTTAACCAAAAGAAAAAAATACTTAAACATATGAATTCTGTGATGATTTGTAAAACAATTTGCATTTTTTATCTACTATTGTTAAATAATTAATAACGAAACTATGTACAATTATTATATTGTATGCACGTAGCTGAGTAACAATGTTATCTGTCAGTTTTTGACGACAATTAAATGAAAGTATTTATAAGTAAAAATTATTTATTTTTTTACAATTTCAAAATAATACATAAATAAATAATATATAATTTCAATGTCTAAGTTAAAATTATTTACGGCAAGTCGTTAATATAATAAATACTACAAACTATATCTAGCCTATTTAAATATATACAATATTATTCGCTTAGTCAAGAAGGATTTATAGTTTATAATGCGGGCATTGTGAGAGTCCTTTCAATATTGCGTAAACATCGAATTTTACTATATAAATTCTATGCCTTCGTATTTATAATCGGTTTCGATTTTCTGTTCGGGTAAAATGGTTTTACCGTTCAAATCGAATGCTGTTATAAATGTGGACGTCTTGCCATTCAATTCCTCAGATTTTATAGCTAAAATAATTTTGTCTTCTGTGTTAGGTATAAACTTAAAACTTGAGAATCCATGAGCGGGTGTAGTATTAGCGGGATCCAACGAAACCGTTTCAATCTTTGAAAAGCGTTCATCTGCTGATATGAGCACATTACAACCCATTTTCTCGTCGCGTGTTTCGTTGTATCTAAAAACGATAAATAAAAACGATAAATAAATTAATATATAAAAAAGATAAAAATCACACGCAAAAAAAAAACACCATATCATAGTATTAATATCATATGGTATTATCATAAATTATTATTACTATAAATTAACAATGATTTAAATTATAAAAATTTTCAAACACCTCGTGCCAGTGCAAAAATATATAAATGTATACATTTGATTAATAAATTATAAAAATTATTAAACTATAACTGTGTCTAACTGTAACACAGCAATAAGCCTTGTTTGCTGATAAAAAGCTAAAGTAATCAGTGAAAGCGATGACAAATTCCAAAACAAACATGTATCTTCTGGTGTAATCCAAATGAAGTAATTAGGTTTCTGCGCCTTAACCCACTATTAATCCCAAACAATCCCCTCCCCTTGCACACTTTCTTTACCCAACTGCATCCTAATGCATGTAATCATATTTCGTTTGATCGAACCCATGTATTTGTATTTGTAATTCATTACATGTTATCTGCCACATAGAACTCCACGCGTTATCACAACAACAAATACAAAAATAAAGAAAGAGTAGTTGTGCTTATGTCTAACAGCACGATTGTCTAACAGAGTAGCTCCAAACCGGTGGTCCGCGCTATGGTTATAAATACTCTTCCAATCACATTTAAGAGATATGGATACAAGCATATAGTTTGTTCACTAAGACCTCAATTATTAGGTACACAAAACTTAGATCAGTCATCGAATAATCACGCAGTGTTCAAGGAATACATAAAATAGTCAGTGTGAAGAATGGGACTCTGCAGGAACCCACCAGCTATCAAAGTGTAAAAGTGCCTAGATGCACTAACACGAAAAAGACTCAACATCATTAGAAAATAAACACAAAAAATGTCCAAGTAATTATACACGTCTTTTATAGTCTATATAATGTACCTAGGCACTTATACAATTCATTATACATTCTACCAGAGATTCATAAAACGTATTACAATATTCATCCAGTTTATTATTCATAAACTTTGTGGTTCCTACTAAAAAGAAAAATATCGTAGTGGTCTTTGGTTGGGAATCGCTGTTCTAACATGTGGGGTTATTTCATTAACAACTAAATTATTGCAATTTACAATCTTATTACAATTATAACATACGAATACATGGGAAGTTAGGGTATGGAAGAGATAGAAATGAAAAAACAAAGGGTTGGGATAAAGAAGGGATGAGGAGTGGTTGCTATTTGATTAAAAAATATCCTAGATTGAGATAGAGAAATCTTGTCACTTCAATACGACGGAATCCTACTCATCGTTCTCTCTTAACTATTTCTTACACATTATTCTTTTATTACACATTATTCTTCCATTATGAAATGGAAGAGTGATAAAACATGCAGAATAGAAATGGAATTGTGGGGTACAATGGAAGTGAAACAAAAAGCGGGATGGAGAATTGGATGAGAATTTTGAAAATTAGTAGGCGGCAGTATTGAAAACAATCTGAAGTCAGGTGAAACATTCTTTTATGAGACAAAACTCTCAACAGAACGCTTTATTATACATAAAAAACTGTCTGGTTTCACGACTATTTTATGCTGTGCTTTACCCAAGTTGTCTAAAGATGTTGGATTAATACAAGTTACAACAACCGAAATTAAGTTTTTGAATACAATTAAAAGTAGGTAGATAGGTTTTTTTATTGATGATTTTATATTTAATAAAAAACTAGCTCTATATTAGCCGGAAAAGCATAATTGTAAAAGGGGAAATAAATTTTCATACTAGCTGTCTTCATTATTTTCTACCTGACTTGATTATTTTCCCTACTATCAAATCTTATTTTATCAGTACTTGATTTCAAAGTAATAAGTGTAAGTTTTGAATGGAACTCGCTATTATCTCACAGATTAAAAGAGAAGTGTCTTATGAGAAGGGATTTTATTAGAATATGATTACGAAAATGATCTATAACATAAGTGCTCCCGAACATTTTAGAACTATAAAACTGAATTAAAGCTTAATTTCACTGTTAAAAAAAACGGTAACAAGAAGATTTAGAAATATATTATATTTTACAGTAATCACGATTTAAATCTGTAGATTGTACCACTCTAACATAATCTATATATACTATATTCATATATTTAAAATTTGAGAAAAAAATAACTCACTTTTCTTTAGAACAACGTCTTGGTAGGAAGTACCACTTTTTATGTACTTCCGACCACAAACCACTTTCGTGTATCATATATCCAGGCCATGTGATTTGCAGTGCCTGTTCTCGCACTGCTTTATAATTGCTAGCCCAATCAAAAGAACGCACTTCTCCGGTTGGTGTGATCTCTTTCACAAACATAGGATTCTCATTTTCAAAATCACCCATGCTGGTAGTCCATTCTTTGCCCATCGAACCTACATACAGTTTTCGTTGCTTCACCGTTGCCCACTCAGATTTAAAGCCTTTCGCATTATGCCCATTACCATCAAGTAAAATTATCCAAGGTAAAACTTTATCATTCACGATTTCATATATCAAACCCGTGCGATCGTCAAACGTTAACAATTTTCCATTAAAAGTGACCAACTCAGAAAGTTCCATGCCACGCCCTTTTAAAGAAAAACTGCTTTCGAGTACTATGGGCGTGTCAGTGTCCCACTTAACTTTGATTTCTTGGTTGCCATTCGTGTGCGTCAAGTATCCTTTTTTCAGATAACTACGCCACGTAATGCTGCCATCATCTTTAGCAACTTTTGAGTTTGTATCCAGGTCTGCCACCATGGCAATGCGATATGTTACGCTACCACCGCGACTTAAAATTGGTGGAGTTAATGGATATGTAGAATTATAAATTAGTAGATCACTAAGTTTCATTTCAAATTTTTCAGGACTACTACGCACACTTGTGGAACTGGCATAGGTTTTTATCCACGCCGCCTCCGATGAGGATGTGGACCCTGTGCGTACATAAAAGAATAATACGAATAGTGCACATACTGTTGCCACTAGTAATGCGAAGTGGTAGTTGAATCGCACGGTACGATTGCCAATGCGGTAGGTCGGTGGCGTACGTAACGCAGTACGCCAGTCTCTCGTATACATGACTGACCTCGATGAGTTGGTACGTTGTGTATTGGGATTGTCAAGCTCGTTGTAAGCATATGATGAGCTTGTGTGTATTGATGCAGTATTATTGCGATTTAGGAAACTCATTGAGATTATAAATTTTTATGTTTCAATATATCTTTATATTTGCATTTTATATTAAATGCCTTAGGAATTGTTGATATGATGTTCGCTGCTGTGTTGCTTATATAATTCACATAAAATTTTGTTTTAAAAAAAATTAAGCAGATAATCATTATTAATTCGCCATTTTTTTGGCATTCACTAATGTATCTCACACGAACCAAACTAAAATTTGTAACAAATAAACCACGACTAAAATGTAAACGTCAAGTATCACACGTCAACCCATATGTTTTCGCTAAATACACTGCAAATATTTTTGAAGGACATGTTCAGTGTGGATTATTTATTCAAAACACTCAGAGTTAACAACACCCAGCCACAAATGATAATTCAAAATTCGTGTAAAAGTGTTTTGTTCAAATGAGTTATAATACTTAATACTATTAAAAACATTATTAAATTATTTTATAACAGTCGCTATTATTCCCAGTACGAACTTTCTACAAAACAACGTTTGGTCAGATAATTTTGATTCATTTTAATTTGATTTTATTTCTGCAATTCAACACAAATAATTTCAAAAACAAAATATTTTGTAAAGAATGTAAAAAATGTATAACAATGAAATCAATATAATTTCTTGTTTGTATAGCATGACATAGACCGAATCGCACTGTGTATATTTAGGTATGCATACTAAATTTCAGTCTTCAGACATATATGAGGCAAAATTACCCCTTATTTCAAAGTGTATAGCGCATACCTGGGCATGCAGCCCGCGACTAATTTTTGTGCGGCCCGCGAAATATTTTTAATCTACCACACCTACGCAAATTATGTTTTGGAGTATTGGTAAAACTACATTATTTTATTTTTATGGTATACCAAATAAATCAAAATAAATTGATAAATTTACTAAACTAAATTTAACATTATAACCGTATTGTTGTTTTTGTAGAAAACAATTATTAATGTATGTTTTTATTCCTGTGGCCCTCCAATCTATATAGTTATTTGTAGTGGCCAACGATTTTATTTGTTATGGACAGGCCTGGTCTGTACCATGCTTTATGAATTTATTAAAAAATCATGTTGATTAAATAAATTATATGAATTCAGGCTGAATTTTGCTTGAAATTGAAAAGAATATAATTCATGCAAAATTAAACAAATTTGCTATATGTCCAAAATGTAAACTAATGTCAAAAACAGCTTTTAATAATATTAATGTCAGTTTGATACTTTCACTGAGTATGCTTATTGTTCAATTCTTAAAAACTCAAATAGGTGTTGCGTTTTAATGACAATAAATCCAGTATTGCAACAAATTTGCAACAACAAACAATCACATTTATTATCATTATAAATAACATAATAAATACTATTAGTTATAATTAATGGAGCAGCTTCAACGTATTATAAGAGTTTAAATTTCATATATAAAAATATAAAAAATTGATGCCTTTGCGCATTTTTCCATAATTACTTTAAATTCATTAAAAAAAAATTTAATTTTAAACAACGAATTATTAATTTATTCACTATTACATTTTTATTTACAATATTTTTGATAGACACAGCAAGTGAATTTGTTAATGAACATTCAAAGCAAATTAACAAAAACTTCAAGTTCGAACATACAAGTCAAGTACGGCTTGTGGTCAGTTGGGTAATGAATACTGATTCTGAGCTTCACATTTGGCAGGACCTGAGTTCGATTACTTAACTTAATTAATTAAACCATTAATTTCGAAATTTCTTTATTAAATACAACAGTTTCTATTAAATAAAGTAGCTACTACCGTCATACTGACGTTAAAATCAAATTTTATTTTTTTTAACTTAAAATTAATTTCGCAGGTTTATATTCTCCTTCTGGTATATCAAAATTTGTACACATGATTGTCATATTGGAATATGTGATATTCTAATATATAATTAATTTATTAATTTCATTTATTTAATTAAATAATAAATACGCTAAAGTTTTGCAAATATGTATGTGTCTTCATAATGCATCAAACCAAAGCATTTGATAGCACTTAAAGTATTGTCACTCAAAATTCTGCTAATTTTGTGATTTTTTTCCAACATGTTTATAAAATATAGTTCGTTCCTCTTTTTACAGAGCGTATTAACATAAAAACTAAATTTCGCAAAAATCGCTAAGTTCGAAAACTGCTAAGCGTAAATAAAGAGAGATCGTATACAGGCATGCACTGAACATACTAAGTTGACAATTTTACATTATTGCCATCACATGTTTTCATTGACTTGTTTTTTATATTCTCTTTTCCACGTTCCTTCCGAAATAGTTTTGCTACACAACACGTGCATCTACAATAATTTTGTTGATTTTTAATAAAATTCAACAAAAAGATGCGTATCGAAACGTGTTATTTTTGCTCCAGCAAAATATATCCTGGGCATGGAGTACAATTTGTAAGAAATGATTGCAAGGTAGGTTCCTTTAGTAAGAAATTAACCAATTTATTTTTAAGCTCTGACGTCAAATGTGCGTTTCTAATAAATTTGTGAAATAATCAAAAACATTTTTATTTATTGCAGATTTTTAAATTTTGCCGAGGTAAATGTCACAAAGCATTCAAGCGCAAGAAGAATCCACGTAAAGTTCGCTGGACCAAGGCACATCGCAAAGCAGCGGGCAAAGAACTCGCCATCGATCCCAGTTTTGAGTTTGAGAAACGTCGCAATGTGCCCATCAAATACAATCGCGAAAAATGGCAAAAGGCTCTAGATGCCATTAAGAAGGTGAATGAAATCAAGGAGCGCAGACAAGGCAACTTTGTAATGCAACGTTTGCGTAAGGGTCGTGAAGTCGAAATTCAAATGGATGTCAAGGATGTACAGCGCAATATGTCACTTATACGCTCACCAGCTGCTGGCTTGAAGGAAAGACGCGCGAAAGAAAAGGCTGAACAAGAGGCACTCATGGAAGAAGATTTGCCCGAAGAAGAGATTACTTATGTCGATGCGCGCGAATTGGAAAAGAAGCTGGAAGCAGGTCTTATGGATGATGAAGATATGGAGATGATTGAAGAATAAATTTCCATGTAGTAGGGGGGTGTAGTATATAAGTTTTTAATTTTATTTTAATAATTTAACAAAAACAAAATTACACAAATGTGCGAATGAGTGTATAAGTGTTAAGCGAAAATATATCTCAATTGTGACAAAATGTTAAAAAGTGGATTTTTGATTTATTCTTGTTATTGTTGTTGACTTGAAGCCTTAAAAGCGGCAATGGTTCTGTTTATTCACTTTTCCTCGTGGAAATGCAAATTACTGCAGTTAATGTAAATTTTCGTTTATTTTACAAGTAATGAAAAATGCGGAAGAGAATGCGAAAGGTGAATCAAAATATTAATTGGATTAGCGTCAGTTTTCACGGCGTAGAGAATTCACAATTTCACAATTCAAAATCATTTTTATTTAGTGAAAGAGTACAGCCAGGAGCCAAAATATGCAGTTTCAAAGTAAAACCTTTTTTAGTGATAAAATTTAAATAGAAAATAAAATTTATACAATTTGTTTTTGCACAGAAATTGTAGTTATTGGCGCGTGCATCATTGCCTGCTTATCGTTTCTGTGGTTGCTGCTATGTAAATTGCTGGAGGAACGTGTGTCTAACACCTTAGAACCAGCGGAGGGTTATGTGTTTGATTATGTTATTGGTAAATATAATCGTAAATATTCTTACAGAGTTTAATATTAAATTATATATTTATTTATACAGTTGGTGCTGGCACAGCGGGTTCAGTGGTAGCCTCTTTGCTTGCCAAATACAGTAACTCAACAGTGTTGCTTGTGGAAGCAGGCGATAAATTTGGGTTCCTAAGTAAAATTCCATTATTAACGACATTGCAGCAAAAAGGCGTAAATGATTGGTCATTTTTATCAGTGCCACAGAAGCACTCATCCAGAGGCTTGAAGGAACAGGTAAATGAGTTTCCTTCCTTCCTGACCGTATAAGGAGTTATTACAGACTTCAAACCTACTTAACTTACCTTAAAATTATTTTTTACTTTTTATTTTAAATGGAGGTACTAACCCTTCAGAATTTCTACCATTCACTTCTTACTTTTTCATTTTAAATTGCTATTCCACCTCAGCTCGTCTTATTCAGGTTCCTTGTCTATTAGGAAAAAATTAAAAACAATATATTTTCAAGACCTTATAAATATGAAATTAAATTTCTTAATGTTTAGCGACAATGTTTACCACGTGGACGCGGCTTGGGTGGTTCCTCCCAACTAAACTATATGTTACATTTTGATGGATATCCACAAGACTTTTATTATTGGTACAAAACACATAATTTAAGCACCTGGCGTTGGGATTTTATCAAGCCATACTTAGATGCTGTCAATCCAAGTCCCAATGAAATGTATGAAATCAGACGTGACTACTCAAAACTTACGACAGCACTTCATTTAGCTGAAGAGGAATTGATTCACAAACCCTGGCTGTTTCGACGTGCACGGTACAATATTAAAAAAGGTCTACGCTATAATGTGTTCCAACATTTTCTGAAACCAGCATTTAAATATAAAAACTTACACATAATCACAAATGCCATGGCAAAGAGAATAGAGTTGAAAAAGGACAAGAAATCGGTTAAATCGTTGCTCATTGGTGTCAAAGATGAATACACACGCAAGGAAAAATTATTCACTGTGGATATACGTGAAGAACTAATACTCTCAGCTGGTGCATATCAGAGTCCGCAGCTACTTTTAGTATCCGGCATAGGTGATTATGAACAGCTAGAAAAATTGAATATAAAATTACAAAAACAACTGCCAAAGGTAGGCACAAACTTACACGATCATCTGAATCAACCACTTTTTGTTTCCATAGAAGTGATAGGACCCACTTTAAATCAGAAAGCCTTGTTAGATCCATACAGTTTATTCAATTACTTGAGCTCTGGAACTGGACATTTAGGGAACTTTGGTGTTTTAGCGCATGTCGATGATATATTCAGTGTACACAATTTTGGTCTTACGTTTTTCGCAGCCGGTGCCATTGATGAAACTGCTTTAATGTCCATATCAAATTTTAAACGTGAACATTTTCGTGCTTTATTTCCCCGCTACCATAATAGTACACAGGAAGGTTTTGTAATTATATCAACATGTACAAAACCTAAATCCCGTGGTAGCGTTACTATAAGTAACAGCAATATACGTAAGAATCCTTTAATCAATCCAAATTATTTAAGTAAGGATATTGATGTGAACTGCACAATAGAAGCTATACGTGCTGCTGTGGAAATCATCACATCGGAAGCATTCGCTAATTTACGTCCACGTATACATTGGCCAAAAATAAAGAACTGTGCGAAATATGGTCCGTTCGAATTGGATTTTGTGTGGAACAAACCAAGTGACAGTTATTTGGAATGCATTCTAAGACATGTCGGATTGGGGTCACATCATCCGGCTGGTACTTGCAGCATGGGTTCCACAGCAATGAATAGCGTAGTTGATGCAGAGTTTAGGTATTGTTTTTTTACAATTTATTAGAAAGAAATTATATCTTATTTATCATTGCAGAGTACATGGTTTAAAAAACTTACGTGTCATAGATGCTAGCGTAATACCAATACCATTATCGGGAAATCCTAACTCTGTTGTAAGTGCTTTAGCAGTCAGGGGAGTAACTATGATTTTGAAAATGCAATTGAATGAAAATATCAACAACAATCCATAGAGTGATATTTTGAATATATATTATAACAAATAATTAAATTAAAAATGATGTGCTTATCTTTGGATGGGTTAGGGTTAGAAGCAGGGATTGAAAACGATATATATTTATTTATGTTTTGTTGGAACCTAACAAAACCAAAGCACTTTTTATTTTTAGTTTTTTTAAAGCCTGGATTGAAAAAATAACTTTACAAACTGCGTAACGTAAATTTTGTTATGAGAATAAAATTACGTTTCGTAACATTTGGAATATTGGTCTAGGTATAAAGTTACAAGAAACTAAGTGATCTGCAACCAAGTGATCTAATTTTGTGTGCATTAGACTTTAATGCGCTTGCCCATATAGCATCAAAGATTAATGATTAAGTATATCAGTTGACTATCTTCATGCCAGATCTGAAATGCTTATTGTAAAAGAGGTTTTTCAACTACCGTCCAAGCGATGTCTTTCTTCCTATCATGATCACTTCGCCATCAATTGCAATAGATTTAACATCAGTAAGGTCAAATATAAATATGAGCGCGCTTCACACAGATACAGAGTCCTCTTGGAGATCAGTGTTGGGTAGTAACAAAGTGTTTAACAGGCCTCCGTCTATTATCTCCAAGGAAAAGCGACGCAGTATGTATAGTGCTATCCTAATTTAGATCAGGATATAGCCATATCGTCAATAGTTTCTTCAAATTGAAAGATCTCATCAACCTCTTTCTTTATCAAACTTCCTTTAACAACCACATCCCATATAAAAAACTTTTCCAAACTGAAATGTTTGGATTTCATTAGTACTGTTATCAATCCCTGGTTATCAGTGTTCTTTTAAGACAGTAAAAGATTAATAAATTAATATTTGTAATATTTTATTATATAAAAGTAGTCGTTTTTTTAATAAATGTGTACGAACAAAGGAACATACTTTTTTTCAAATATAGTTAATTATGTTTAGGTTAGGCTGAAATGGCAGCTTTATGTTAACTCTAACACACATAATGCCCGTTTGTGATATCATAAATATAAAGCTAATCATACTTTTAAGCGATATTGAAATGGTTAAAGTGGATTTGAAAATATTGCCGTTGAGTTTTTAAAATTCATTAGCGTACATTATACATTGTTCAAACAAAATACTAGCGAGATAGTTCTTCTAGAAAAAGATTTTACAGAAATAGCGTCAGTTCTTTTAACTTTTACAGAATAAGTTCTTTTAGAAGTAGTTGTTATAGAAAAAGTTTTTTTCACATAGTTCTTTCACAAGTAGTTCTTCTAAGTAATTCTTACAGAATTCTAGTAGTTCTTTCAGAAATATTTTTTTAATATGTAGTTCTTTCAAAAGTTGTTTTTTCAGAAGTAGTTCTTTGAGAAGTAGTTATTTCCAAGTAGTTCTTACAGAAGTAGTTCTATCAAAAGTACTTCTCTCAAAATTATTTTTTTTTTAAAGTTTTATTTTCGGAGGCTCCTTCGGAAGTAGTTCTTTCGAAATATTTTTTACAGAACTATATATAGCTTTTTCAAAGGAAGTTCTCTCAATAGTAGTTGTTACAGAATTCGAATTTTGAAAAGTATTTCTTACAAAAAAAATTATTACTTTTACAGAATACGTTCTTTCGGAATTAATTCTTATAAAATAAGTTCTTTTGTGGTTAATCTTCTAAAAGTAGTATTTCCAGAAATAGAGCTATCAAATGTTATTCTTTTAGAAATAGGTCTTGAAACAGAAGTTTTTTCTTCCAAAAATAGCTTCTCAAAGTACAAAGTATAATCAGTAACATGTTTATTCAATTTTAAAACGTCTTAATATTTAAAAAAAATTTTTTTTTAAATAGGCTAATTTTTAGTTAATTATTGGTTACAACAACATCAGATTTTTTTAAAAAATACTTAAGATCATTTTTTATTTAAGTTTTCCAACTTTCTTTTATAATACATTGTTATTGCACGATTCTTCTCAATTATTGACTGAAGTTTTTGTTTCTTTAGCTCAAATAATTCCATTTTAGACTTGGTCCTTAATTGAGAAAGTTTTCTCTGTGATGATAAAGTCGCAACTGTTGAAAGCGGTTTATCATCCACAATAGGATCTTTCCTCTAAGCAATGAAAAAACTATATATACCTACTATATATGACATAAAACATACGAAAATAAAGATTATATGTATTATATATACCTATACCTATATATAAAATGGTGAAAAATACCTCTAAATTTTCGAAATTTATATTTTGTGTAGTCTTAGAAGTATTATGTCTCAACTTATTACGTAGAGTCTAAGTATTATAATACATACTGATTCCTTCAACAAAACGAAGAAAAAGAGAATATATATACCTCTGAGTTTTCAAATTTCAAAGTTAAGTTTCACTGTTGTCACATATAACTTAGAAAAGTTAATTTTCTTTTGCTTCAGTTTTTACAGTTCCAATACCTTGTTTAGAACAGTCTGCTCTTTCCAATGCTACTCTCTTTTTCAGTATTGTGTGCCTCTTCTGCTGCAATACCTTAGCGTTAGAGTTCTTATTTTCCAATATATCTTTATGTTTTAAAAATATTCTTATTATTATTGTTTTTCCCGATTGTTTTAGATACGTTCTTTTTCCACTTAAACAGGCGTACATTATAAATATCCATTGATTCAGTCTAAAATTTTAGCGTTCGATTTCAACCTCAATTACCAACACAATTAGCTTATGCGCTTTGGCTTTTAAATAAATATATACATAATCATATACATATATTATATTATAGTCCTCTTCATAATACGGGTTCTTATAAGATGAATTCGTATAACACGGTGGAAAAATTGTGAAAAAGTGCACATTTCTTCTTAAAAGAATAATTAGTCAACGGTCAAAAACGTGGAGTGCCTTAAGCCTGATTATTAAAGAAACTTTTTTAATTAGGAAGCTTATGTCGTATGAGAAGAAATCCATTTCGAATAAAAAATTTTGAAACTTTTAAATCCCTAAAAATCTTTTCAATTAAGTAAAATGTTTGGGCGATCATATAAGTGTTACGGATATCGCCAAATAACTATTATCAGTGAATTATAAGTGGATATTTTTTTTAAATATAACAGTTACGTTAATCGCTTTGGGTTGTAAAATATGCACGGATTGTATTTGTATGGTCAGGTTCAACACGGATTAATGGAACACAGATCGGCATTATTATGAGGAGGTCTAATGTGTTAAAATTGGCATAAAAAAAATAAATAAACAAGTATATACATTTTTCTATAAAGTCGTATAAATCATATCGCCAATTTAATGAAATTTAATAAATAAATAAATAAATAATAAATAAATATTGTCATCAATATATGGAGATTTCTCCAAGGAATTGCTAACAATCAGTTGTGGCCGTGTGTCTGCTGAAGAATCGAGCGGATCAATTATATTTCCTTCAAATTTTTGCAATTTCGTCTCATCAAAAGACGAACTCATCAATGAAGTATTTCCGAACATCATTGATAATCATAAAAATAACAAATGGTTGAGTGAGCGAGCAATTTTGGCGCCTAAATACAAAGATGGGCATGACTTAAACTTTGTAATTCAAAATCAAATCGTTGGTACTCTGCATACATTCAAATCTATTGATTGTATAAGAAACGAAGATGAAGCTACCAACTATCCAACTAAATTTTTGAACTCCTTGGATGTGCTTGGCCAACCACCGCACAATTTACAACTAAAGGAGGGTTCGGTAGTCATTATGCTTCGAAATCTAAACCAACCAAAACTATGGAATGGAACGCGATTGGTGATAACAAACCTGATGGCCAATGTGATTGACGCAACGACACTCAAAGGTAAATTCAGAAGTGATGAAGTTCTCATTCCGAGGATCCCAATGATCTCAATCGATATGCCCTTTGAGTTTAAACGAATTCAATTTCCTATTCGGCTTGCATTTGCTATGACTATAAATAAATCACAAGGTCTGAATCTAAAAAATGCATGTTTTTCACATGGTCAATTGTACGTGGCATGTTCACGTGTAGGCAAACCATCTGCTTTATTTGTTCTTGCGCTTGATAAAAAATCAAAAATATCGTATATCGCAAGGTACTTTACTGAAGAGAATCAATCGGGGTGCAAACCATACCTTTTTGCTGTCAAAACAGGTCCTTAAGTGTTACGAGCTTCTGCAATCACTTGCAGCTCGGAATAAGGTAAGCCTTTACTGGGTTCCGGGTCACAGAGGAGTTTTGGGAAATGAAAAATCTGATGAGCTAGCCAGAACTGCATCAAAAACTGCTTTTATAGGACCTCAACCCTTTTGTGGAATAAACTGGGCCAGTACAAAACAGATTATTAAGGAAATGGAAAATCATATGCGGCTGGAGTACTGGGTAAACTTTCCAGGACTCAGACAAAGCAAAACACTGATAACACCGTACTCCTACAAAGACATTCTTAAATTCTCGAAATGTAATCTAAGGGTGATAACGGGTTTCATTACAGGTCATTATGGTCTGAAATATCACCTTCATAAATTACAATTATCTGCTAACTCGGAATGCAGATTATGCCTCGAAGATGAGGAAACGACCATGCACATTCTTTGTGACTGTCCAGCTTTAACAACGCACAGAAGAAACCTGTTTCATAAAGAATTTCTGTCACCAGAACAGATTAAGAACTCTTCTCTAGATTTAGTTCTAGACTTTATTCACAAAGCTTTAAGGGGCTTTGTTTAATCAATAGTGAAACTGGTACAATAGGTCTCTTCTGGCCGCAGTACCGGCTGTTGGGCAATTTTCACGTCTACTCTTTAATAATAAATAATACCTTTTTGCTGACAGAACATTGAAATAATTGATTATATATTAATATCCTAATAAACTATGGAACATAATAAATTTTTTGTATTCATTTTTTTACGTTAATAAATTTCTAAATTTAGTTTACCTAATATTTAATATAACATTTATTGACTGTTACGCGGTACGAAGTTCGCCGGGTCAGCTAGTATATATATAAATAAATAATATATATATATGTATATATATATATATATATGACTTGGTCTGAATATAATTTTTATATAAGGCTTTATTCAGACAATTACTTTACGAGTACATACTAATTATATATAATTTATTAATTATATAAATATTACTTTTATATATATATATATATATATATATATATATATATATATATATAAGTAATATATATAAAAGTAATATATAATTAATAAATTATATATAATTAGTATGTACTCGTAAAGTAATTGTCTGAATAAAGCCTTATATAAAAATTATATTCAGACCAAGTCTTTTTGTTGTGTTGAATCTAAAAATTAAATTCAATTCAAATTTTATTTCAAAAAATCACCCATTTTATTTAATTAATTTTGCAAAGATTTATTTTATTTACCATTTTTTTTATTTGATATGATGCGATTATGACGACATCATCTCATGGAAATTAAAAGTATCTGAATAGATTCTGTATCTGTTGATGCAGTTGCAATTGTGCTCATGAACTTGAATTTTATTGTCCCAGAGAAAATAATTTGTTTTTTTTTTCTAATTTGTTTATTGAATTTAAAGCAATGAAAACTGAACTCTTTGATTGCAGTTTTTTTAATTGCTTTTCTGATATTCGGATCCTCATTGGATTGCGGCTACATTGCCTCGATTGCCTCGAATTCTGAATCAATTTTTAGTTGATATTGAACTTGTATATATTTAAAAATGAAAATTGTGAATGGTGACGTTGACTTATGAAAATTTTTGAAATGTTATTATATAAAATTTTACTATACTTAACAAAAATTAAAAAATGTTGAAGTTTAAAATGCAGTAATATATATGTTTTACGGATGTATGCTCTTATCGCGTGTTATACTATGTGAATAAATGTATTTAGTTTTTATGGCGAATTTTATATAAGCCGCTTAGTAAAACATAATTTGTGATCCTTTTGATACATCAATAATATTCCTATCTGGGCCTAAATTGCTTTACCACTTACTTTTGTCTCTAGCTATGTACCCACTTTGCTTGCGGTAGCATTAGGGTTCTTGTTCTCCAGGTTTTCGCTTTAAATATTTTCTATGGTGTATATATCTGAGTATAGTTTTATAAATTCTCGTAGTTGATTTAAACTAGACAAACTCAACTTCAATTTTATTATACCTATGAGTAAAATACTTTGCCACAACAATTCTCTAATAATCCAGAAGTTCAACATTTATTCCACTTCTTTGTGGAATCCGACCAAAACAGTTTTTGAAATTTTTATTTTGTTAGTTTTGTATATTATAGTTCAGAGGTCTGATATAGAAAAACATGTAGAAAATAATTAAATATGTTTTGTTAGTATATATTAAGAGATTTATAGAATTACCTTCTTTATTATGAGAATAAATTTTTACTTTACCTTATAATTTAGAAAACTAATCTTTAATCTATGGTAAAAGATATCTTATCTGCATTCACAGCGATTAAACCTAGGCATGGGTAAAAAAGAACTAACCGGTTCTAGTATATTTTGGTGCATATTTTTTGTATATTATATTGTATATTATATACTGTATAGTATTTGTATATAATAGTTTATATAAAACAAATTATATATTTAAATATTCAAATGTTGAATACACGAGTACATATTTAAATGTTTACTCACTTAGAAAGTCCGTGGTGCAATAATTCCTACTTCGGCGTTCATATCTACTTTAACACTAGCACTATGCAATATGAAAATGAAAAATATTCATATAATGTTAAAAAATGAAAGAAAAATACATTAAAAATAAAAATAAGAAGTAAGAATAAGAACTCTTGATTCTGTTGTAGGTATTAAAAATAATTAACAGGTTTTTGGTTATTATTGTTATTTTTGCAACTCCCTTCTTTTATGTGCTGTATACATAAAAAGAATACTCCAGTTCATTAAGTAATCTAGATCTTGAACATCGTTATTTAGAACTATTTTTGTGAACATGCATAACTCAAAGGTTTTCTAATAAGTTATCTCATAACAAACTGGACAAACGCAAACCGCTAATCAAGTTCTCAAATATAAATCACATCAAATGTATGTCCATAGTTTAGGTTAGTACTATAAGATCTGCTGAATTATTTAATTATTCCAGTATTCACATTAACTTCAATTGAATTGATTCATGGTAGTGCTTCATTCAAATTTTTAGACGCTTGATTTAGGTAAGACTTTATTTCTATCATTCCTTCACTTGCCTTTAGCTTCTTTTATGTGTCATTGTAGGTAGGTAGGTAGGTAGGTTATACCGGCGATTCCAAGAGATCCACTACCGTTATTTACCGTATATTTAAAAACTCGGAGGTTAGAACCACTTAAAACAATTTGCAAAGCTTATAATGCTATTGAAGAGGAGATCTTGCAATTCAGCCACTAAAGTAGTAAAGCCCCTATAGTGTGTTGGACAAAAACAAATCAGATAGGAGACACTTTCATCGTCCTCTCTACAACTGCGGCAGATATGATTGATAAGAGATTTAATTTAATTTAGCATGGTTATTTAAAATGCAGTGACTTGTAAATAAACCTACCACAAGACTGATATCTCTACGGGTCATCTCCATGGGAGTTTCAGAGCTAGTAGATCTCCATGTTAGTTTACAACAATAACTGTAGGTTAACAAGCGTTATACTGGTGAAAAGCAGGGAATCTAATTTATGTGCTTGCTTGTGAGCACATCTATGTTACTTTGTAAATAGTCTGAATGTTCACTCTTTTTATGTTTGAAGACCTATGATATGTTTTAACTTTTGAAAAAAATACTTTAGGACACATGCTGGTAAACGGTGAAGGAGATGTACTATTACATTAGTAAAAAATATCATTTTTATTTATAACAAAAAATTTTATAAATTAATTGTTTTCATTGTTACTTTCATCCTTATATCAAAGCATTTACCCTGTTCTATATCAAAGCATATTTCTTTTAGAAAACTTAATTTTTGTAATAAGCTAGTTATATATCTTTTACTCCAGTATTTTATAATGCTTTAGTTATATAAATTGATAAATAATAGTTTAAGTGCATAATGTAGTCCTCATCATTAAAACATGATTCCTTTATGCGACACTTTCAATTTCTCAATTATATTACTAGATGGATTCTTTAAGATTCTTTAGGTACTTAACAGATTCTTATTAGCATTAACTCTTTCAATGGTTATATATTTTGCCTTACTTTCCCAACAATTTCTTGTTTAAGCATGAAGAATAGTTCACCAGGTTTTTAGAATTCGTAAAATAATCTAGATACACCTGATCCAGTGCTATATAGATAATGCTTTATTAGTATAATTTTGATAAATTAATATATTATAAAGAGTATATCAAATAATTCAAAATAAATATATTCTGTATATAATTATACAAAAACTGCAATACATTTTCTCAGGCATTTACTTTCATTCATTTAAATTTAATAGATTTTCTTGGAAACTGTGCTAGTCTAAATTTGTATAGCCGTGGGCGCTCAAACTTTTATTTGATTGAATAAGTGTACTCTCGATTAAATCTCTTTCCCTAACTCAAGTGCAAACTACAGATTTCGAAATACATGAGTTGGCTTGACGCCGTTATATGAGATACAATAGGTTATTAGGTATGCGGTGCTTTGAAGCGATGGGATTTTATTCTTGTTGTGACGAATACAAGTAATTCAATTAAAATTCTTGGTCACACTCATTGAAAAAATGAAAAGGGGAATTCGGACAGGGCAGATGAGCGCTGAGATTTAACGACAGCTGTTTAGGACAGTTTAAAATATAGTAAATTATATATGATCGTATATGTACACACACAATTTTTTGAATGCAACCTGTAAACTTTAAAAGAAACAGGGTGTTTTCTATTTTTTCAATGAGTATAATGTCACATATATCCAGCAAAAAATTACTACAAAAATTTACATGAAGTGCAGTAGTTTGTAGTTCTGATTACGTAGTTCTGATCATGAATATCTTTAATTGAGAGTGTTTTTGTTATTATGATATGTGGTCATCTTTAAATATTTAGCGACGTACCAATGAAAAGTGAAAAACATTAAGAAAAATATTTTTATTGTTTTAAAAACGGTATGTCCTAATAGTTTATGTCAAATATTAATTTTTGGTCTATTGCATATACTTTGATCTTTTAACTTGTTGTGGATGTTTAAAATGGTTCTTTTGAAATTTTTTCGATTATTTTTGCCGAAAATATCATTTTTGAGTATCTGTTACATATCAATTTTTGGTCTATTGACTTCATATTAACTCTACTTTAGTCTACTTTACCCTATTTTACTCTACTTTTCTCTAATTTGCTCTACTTTGCTCTACTTTAGTCTACTTAACTCTACTTTAATTAGTTTAAAAGTTAAATAGATTTTTTAGTTAATTAAATAGATAAATTGATTATAAATAATTATAAAGTATACATATGATAATAAATTGATAAATTAATAATTAGAATAACTGCTTGAGAAATTTGCGATCATTTTTAGAGAAAACCTCATTTCTTTAAAAAATTGTAAAATTAATTTATCAATACCTTAATATCTTAAAAAATTATTTATGAAAGAAATTTCCTTCTGCCATGTACTTTTTTTATAACTAAAATTCATAAATTCTCTAGAGAGTATGAAAAATAATAAACAAATTTATTATTATTTACTTCCATATGTAAATATTGTCGACAAATTGTAATAGCAAGCGACGACATCGATCGCTGTCAACAATCGATGGTGTGTAAAGGGCATGCAAGGAACCGACCTTTTTGGAATATTTCCAAACACAGTCTGTATTTTACTTTTATTTTAGCTGTATATATAATGAATGTTATATAAATAATGGAAAGTAGTTTAGAAATCATAATTATGTTGTTATCGGCATTAGATTTTATTCAAATTAAAGAACATATCTGAAGAATATCTAAACAATAAGTTTTTCAACTGAAGTAAAAATATGGTCGAGATGACTTTATGCATTTATTATATTAATTTTATTTAAAATCCAAGTAACATTTAAGACAACATATATCAAAATAAAGTGAATTATTTTAGGTAATTCATAATTTCTATGTACCCCATTGAGTGAAGCAGATTTACTAATAATCACAGTAAATTTAATACAGGATATCATATGATAATAAAATAAAGTCTTTAAAATTACACATAATTTTATTTTCAAAATAAAATCATGAAAACCCTGTAAATTTAACAAGTATAATTGATCCCAGTTAGTTCTTTTTTATGGATATGTATGTAGATATCCATTAATATATTTATGTAGTTGTATTAATATATTTGCAAATGGCAATATTAGATGTAATTTGATTGCTCATTGTGTACGAAAAGTTTTGAGGGGACTCTCATTCGTTTTTGTAGGTAAGTTTGTGAACTGCAGCGCAGAGATGCAGTACAGCTAAGACAAGATTGTACGGATTTAGCAAAAGTCTGTGACTTCAACGACAAAATCTAAACAGTTCAGTTCAGTTTATATCCGCTTGGTTTAGATAAGTGATAGTTGAAGCACTAAATTCGGAGGAAGCGTCATTGTTGTAAAAAAAAGTGATATTAATATACTTCTCGGTGATCAGCTACATTCAATGACAACAAAATCGTTCCTTTTTCTTTAAAAGTTTTGACTATTATAAGTGCAAACCAACATTATGTCGGATATAGATAATATATTGACAAGTTTACAGCGTTTTTCATGGCTGGACTATGTCGTGTTCATAGCTATGTTTGTGATGTGCATTTTAATTGGAATTTATTTCGGTTTTATGAAAAAGTCCCTTTCGGAATCGGACTACCTGATGGGTGGTCGTAATATGCTCGTATTGCCTATAGCTTTATCACTTGTGGCTAGTTTTGTATCAGGTATAACACTACTAGGATTACCCACAGAAGTCTATTCATATGGCATACAATATACGTATGTTGCACTTGGTGTACTTGCTATGGGAGTCGTGATGGGTGTGTTCTACCTACCTGTTTTTCATGATTTGAGTATTACATCCACGTATGAGGTAAGTAATTTTTTAAAATTCATTGTTGAAAATATTTTTAGTAATCATTAATATCAGCGCCAATAGTTGTATAGTTTATAATATGAATTATATAATACATGAATACAATTTAAAAAATGATCAAGAAAATAAAAGTAATTTACCTTTATTGAATAAATTTTGTAAAGTACTTTTTTTATGGCGGGTTCCATAACATATTATTTTTATTATGTTATTCAGTTGAAACGTTTAACATTATATGTGTAATACTTATTTAACAATTGTAACACTGTCCAACAAGGTTTTTAATCATAGCACTTTTACCAATTTTTAGAATCTTTAAAATTATTTCTATTAAGTGTGATTTAGAGTGATAATTTTTGGGGTTTTAGACATTTTTTGCAGTAAATTCATATATCCATGAAACCATGTAAATTGTATGGTAAGTGCACAATATCTACACTGTCACATAAAGAGTTGATGAGCACAATTTTAAGATATAGGTGAAGCTTAATAATTAATTAGCTAATTAGTAAAGTTAAATAAAATTTGTAAAAAGTCGAAATAAATTAATATCTAAACCAACACAAATTTTAAATAAATACATATGTTAGACGCTCCTGGTCTGAAGTCCAAACTCGACAACAGCTTGAACTTCGTCGGATAAATAAACAATCTAAAAGCAATAGATATTTAAAGTCTGTTAAAAGGTTTGATAGAATCAGATGATTTCGAAATTTTTATACATCAAAGTATATATATATATATGTATATATATATATATATATATATATATATATATATATATATATAGATAGATTCGAGTATATACAGAAATACATTTTAAAACTACAAGGTGGCGACCTTAAATTCATCTAATACAATATATAAAATTTTTTATAATTCTTAGAACTATTTTTCCTTACAAGAACATCTTTTGTAAGATGCCAAACCTTTGGCCTAATCAATGCAAACATCTCATCACCCTCACCTCTTAAATGTGCTGGGAATAATTCTATGTACGGGCACAGAAATATACTTTAAGAAGCATATAAATACTTATTTGCTTACTATATTCAGCCGCAAATTCAAATACTGAGAAGTATTTGTACTTCTCAATATTCTGAGAACTACTGTTCGCTGTTCTGCTTCTTCTTGATAACCACATAAAACTATATTTGGTGCTTATTGCTTATATGTTTGTGATTTGATGTCCAATAAATATGCTTTTCTAGCTATCTGCCTTGTGTAGATTTTACTATTATTAAAACAATTTGCTTTAAAATATAGTTTTTCATGATCAATAACTAACTAAATGAACTTAAATTTACTTATACTTATATGAGTATTTAAAATGTGAACTCATTTAGTGAATTCATTGACAACCATAGGGAAAACTGCTTAAAACATTAAAATCAGTTTCAAATACAATTCTGAGGTTTAATTGCAATAAATCTAGTATCATAAATCGACTGTAATAGCATTCGCATTATGTTTATCACAATTCATGTCATATTATTAGTAATACTTAATATTGTCATATTGGGTTTATCTTGGAAGTACTACATGATTTGGAATATACCATTTATTATATTACAATTGTGTGAAGATGAAGAAATTAAATGGTGAAATAAAATTGAAATCCATCTACAATTTTATTAATTCCTTAAATAGTTTATTATATGTGTGTACATTTTTTATTTATTCTCTTTTTAGTATCTGGAAAGTCGCTTTGACAGACGTTCACGAATGTTTGGTTCCGTTATGTTTACCATAATGAATGCAAGTATTTAATTTATTTAACTTCTTGATAATGTTTTAAAGCAATTTATAATATATATTTTATAACTCAATAGATTGGTTACTTGCCGATTGTTATATATGTACCAGCTCTGGCTTTCAATCAAGTTACGGGCGTGGCGGTTCATACAATAACACCTATTGTATGCATCATTTGTGTTTTCTATACTAGTTTAGTAAGTAAAAATAACTAAATTATACTATATAATACTAATAATAATAATAATACTAATAATACTAATACTAATAATAATAATAATACTATATAATGTCAGTAAAAGACGTTCCAGACATTATTGTCCAAGATGGCCAAAATGAATCGATATTTAGTTGTTTATTTCTAAAAGAACTAACTAACTTATTTAAAAGAACTAAACTTTTTATTTTTATTGATGAATTTTATATATAGATGTATATATGTTATATACCATATATATTCATATTAAAATATATTATGCCATATGATATTAAAATATACATTTATTAATAATTCATATATTATATATATTAGTTATTGTATATTAAGTTTTATATACATATATTTCAGTCTTAGTTCCTTAGTAATTATATTTTTTTTGTTTTTATTGTAGGGTGGCATTAAAGCTGTCGTATGGACTGATGTTGTACAAACGATTTCAATGATTGGAGCATTGGTATTAGTGGCTGTTAAGGGTAGTCTGGATATCGGAGGAGCTGGTGTCGTGATCAAAGAGGCTTGGAATTCAGGACGCATTGAAGCGCCGGAGTTCGTTGAGAAACTTAAATAATGAAAAAGTTTGAAAAACTTACTAATATATCATTTCATATTTAGTCTCGATTTAAATCCAACAGTGCGACATACACTTTGGTCTCAGCTAATAGGAGGTGTCGTCTATTGGACGCAAACTAATGCTGTGTCACAAAACATGATACAACGGTATTTGTCGTTACCTACATTAAAGTCCGCTAGACATGCGTTATGTATTTTTTGTGGTGGGGTTCTCTTGCTAATGTCGCTTTGTGCCTATAACGGTCTGCTTATATATGCAACATATAAGGATTGCGATCCGTTGACGACTAAGGTATGATATGGAAAAATTAACAGAAGACATTGTGTGTAGTGCAATAACGCACTATGAAGATACGATCTGTATGCATAAATTTTACTCCCTTCGATTTTATGAACAATACTTTTACAAGCAACCCGAAAAATATCTGCTATTCTTTTTAACTTAATTATTATAAACAATTTTTTTCATCGAACAATTTCAAGTAGTTTTCAAAATGTAAAGAAACAATTGTCACAATATAGTTGAACATTTGAACTTATAAAAGGATATTATGAAGTCAAAATGGCATTGAGCGAGAAGTTGGAGGCTTATTAGGAATGTCATATGGAGTCAAAAAACAATTAAATATGTTATATAGTATGAAAAACATATATATAAATATAATATATATAAAATATATATAAATATATATAGAAGAAAAACAGTTTATAATATATTACGACCTGATATACTCGAAAACGTTAACCTTATATGACCTCACGTTGACCTTAATAGCTAAAAATTGATTTCGTAAAATAAATTAACTTTTATTTGTCGTACTCGTATCCGAATCTCGATATAGACATTTGCAATTCATAAAAAAACTGATATGAGTTACAGAAACATTAGATACTTCTATATACAATGCATTTTTTAGTTATTCGTAAGAAGTTGAAATTGTTCTTGATATATTTAAAGGATGAAGTATTCATGATCACATCCAAATCAAATAAAAATTTTAACACTACAATTTAAAAAAAAATATGTCCTCGCTGAAGGTATTGAACTACGGACCTTGGATTTTATATTTAATGGACTAACAATGAAGTTTAGACGAATACCTTTATAAATTCATTGAATCATATTTAAGTAATCAAATCCAATAACAAATATAAAATATATATATATATATATTTCTATTTATAGTTAGCCAAGGCTCGTGACCAATTGTTGCCGCTTTTTGTTATGGATACTTTAGGCGAGTTACCAGGTTTGACAGGACTCTTTATTGCAGGCGTCTTTAGTGCGGCTTTGAGTTCTTTATCCACATGCTTGAATTCCATGTCTGCAGTGGTTTTGGAGGATTTCGTTAAACCATTTGTAAAGAAACCACTTTCAGAGAAAGCGATCAATTGGATTATGCGTTTGGTTGTAGTGGGTGTAGGTGCACTCTGTGTTGCTTTGGTGTATGTGGTTGAGCATATGGGAACTGTTTTACAATTAACAATGAGCTTAGAGGCTATCACAAACGGACCTCTATTTGGCATATTTACAATTGGTATATTTATGCCTTGGATAAATGGCAATGTAAGTATAATCTTATTTTACATTAATTTTATATATATTACAAATATTTTCTATATTAAACTTATGTTTCTTTCGGAGGTAAATATTTTGAGAAATAATATCTTGGATTTAGAAATACGATGTTAAAAATAGATATTAATAAAATATTTGGAAAGAAATTAAAAATCCTAGGTGAACTTTTGGTTTTTTTATTTTTATATATAATAGAATTGATATGGTCTATGACGGGAAGTATATTTCGAATAAAGGAGAGTGTAATAGTGAGAATATACTCATTCAAAAACTTCGTAATTTCTTACCAAGACTATTCTTGGGTTGATTACATAGTTGCTAGGGATAATATTACGTATTCATTACCAGTGTCCGTCGGATTTTTTGTTTTAATTTTTAGACTGCAACAAAAATTAGGAATCCGATCCTGCTAAACTCAAACTATGGATCTGTATATTAACACATAAACCCCACGTACACTAAATTTGTGTCATTTACTTTCAGAGTTCTGTCAATTTTCAAAACCTATGCATAGATCATAGCTGTACAAATATACTATTATGAATTATTGTAGAAATTTTGTAGAATCACTTATGCATCCGATGATAAGAAATCTATTTCAATAAGAAAAAGGGGGAATTTTGAAATCCATATATTTGAAATTTTTTATTATTATTTTAATTATACTTTATTATTTAAAAAAAATATATTTATGGATTAATACACCTTTATGTTAATGTTAGTATATTTTTGTTTACATTATTTATATTTTTTATATTCATATAATGGGTAGAGTGCTTTAACTGGTGGTATTGTCGGTGTAATTTCAATGTCTTGGATTAGCTTAAATGCGCAATGGGCTATTGCATCTGGTGCTATTCGCTATGAGACAAAACCTTTGACAGTGGATCATTGTGACTATCGTTTTAATATGACTGAAGCATTTAGTTATGCTAATGCGACTAATATTAGTTCAGCTAAGGAGTAAGTTTTATATTATATATTTATATACTATAATATAGTATATAGTATATTTATTTATTATGAATCATAATATTCTAAGCTTCTTCATCTATATTTTAAGATATTTATACATTAATTTGTAGAGAATTATTTAGTTTATTATTCTAAATAATTTAGTTTAGGTATTATTTTATTTATAATTATTAATATATATTGTAATTATAGTTAGTTTACGATATAATTAATTTCTTAATTAATTTCTCGCTCTGCATTATACTTGTAGAGAAGATAGGAACTCTATGAGGTGGTGCGGTTTCGTGCGTAAAACCTTAGTTTGCAGTCGCTAGGATAAGTAAGGGCTTATGCTTTACTGTTTACATTACAAATTTTAAGATTAATGCGGCGACTGATGTGAAAATCTCTTGCGAGATAATTGCTATGGATGAAGCAATGGGCTTATGATGACTGCGGTAGGGTCACCACTTTTTATTTCCTTAGAGCGATCTAGTGGATATCACTTTATTATATGTTGTGAAATTAAATCAAATTTTTCAACGCCTGCGTCAAATCTGTTTTGCTGTATGGATCTGAGACTTGGTATGTGAGTACAGGCATCACTCATAGGTTGCAAACTTTTATAAATAGATGTCTGCGTCAGATTTAAAGAATATGGTGGCCACGAACTATTAGCAATGAACACCTCGTGATATGAACTGAACAACAGCCAATTTATAAAGAAATAATTTAGAGGAAATACGGATGGCTGCAGCATACTCTTCGCAAGGTAAACACCGAAATTGTTCATGCTGCACTGGAGTGATGTCCTCAGGGAAGAAAAAATCGTGATCGGCCGAGAACAACATGGAGAAGAACCATTATTAAAGAAACGAGCAAATTCTTTAGTGAGCTAAGAGCAATAACGCGCGATCATAGTAATTGGATATCTCTTGTGATTAGACTAAGGTCAGAAATGTTAATAATAACATGTCAATAATAATAATAATAATAATGTCAATAATAATAATAATAATGAATGAGGAATATGTCGGCCATTATGTTGATCTATCTGTAAACAGTGTAGTTATAGTTCTATGCTTTTTTGGTAATAAATCTCAATTTGGTGTTTATGAAGTTATTTATATAATGACTGATTCCTTTTATATTTCATTCATTTATTTATTTTTTATTTATTATTTATAAACATAGGATTTTATGATTTACTCAATATGTAAATATATTATAAATTTCTATTTTTATATAAATTGGGTCTAGGATTATTTATTTGTTTTCTAACAATATTTAGTTGCTTTTTAATTATATAATAAAGTTTGTGTGTTTTCTGTTTTAAAAACAATTTTCAAATGAAAAGTCAAACCTTAAAATATTTCTACCGCACTTTTATAGGTTTGAAAAATATTACCTCATAGGACTAAATATACAAAAGAAAATAATAAAATGTGTAATAAATAAAAAATTATTATAGAGTTAAAAATTTTTATTTAATATATTTGCAAGATGATAAAAGCTTAAATCTGTTGATTTAATCGTCTCTAAAATAATAAATATAAATTGAAAATATAAATTATTTAATATTTTTTTTGATGTACTCAGTAATTAATTTTATTTTTTACTTGTACTTTCTTTTTTATTATATAATATATATACATATTAATGCATAATATATTATTTATTTTTATTGTTGTTTACATGAAAAATAATAAAAATTATTTATTTATTTTTAAGAGATTTTAGTGATATCTTATCGACTTGGTTATTTTTTATTATTTTTAATATATAGTAATTATAGATTTATTATTTTTTGGTTTTATATTATTTACTTAAACATTTCAGTTTTAAAAAACTAAGTATAAGTATTGAACTATAGATAATTTATCATTTCATATATTCTATCTTGTTTTTTAAGTTTTAAAAATAATATTAAATAAATTGTCCATATATTATTACAGTGACATATTTCCTTTATATCGGATTTCCTATATGTGGTACACTTGCATTGGTGCTACAATAACAATTATTATCTCCATAATAAGTTCGTCGTTCTTCGGCACAAATGATTTAAAAAAAGTGGATCCAATTTTATTAACACCATGTATACGTAAATATTTCGACTTTGGAACCACTGAAATTAGTACAAATGTGAGTAAAGGAGAAAATTATATATATTAAAAAATGATATTAAAATGTTTAATTTTTAAATATATTTCCAACAGCATGTAAAAAATGTAAGCATTCCATTAAAACAAAAATATCGTTCCGATGAAGCAGCTCTGTGACATCTACAGGAATTACTTGGTTCCAGAGAAAGTAACAATATGTCCTTAATTTTTATTTCAAGTTTTTTGTAATTACAAATACATATATATATTTATATGAGTACATATATAAGTTTCTTTATAAAAATAAGTGATTGAAATAAATGTATTGAAATAAAACTCATTTCATCTTAAAAAGACATTAGCAGCTATAATGACAATTTCTTTAATTATAACAGATTTTATTTAAGTAAATTAAGTATCTTAAGTAATAACCCATTATTAATAAGTTAATAACAAAGAAAAAATTAAAACATAGTCAAAATATTGTAAAATAAATTCATTAATTATTATTAATTACGTTGTTTTGTTTCTAATAGTGGGCAAAGGTCCATGCCGGCTAAAAAAACCTTGCTGGAAAATTGAATATTTCATTTGCTGATATGAACATATATTTTCAAATCAATTTAGTGTTTGCGAATATAAAATACTAAAAATAAAAGTGATAAATCGGAAACACTAAAACAGTGTACAGTTTCCAACACTCCATACGAACTTTTTAGGGATCTTGTCAATATTCTTACCCAGTGAACTTTTGTAGTGAACTTAACGCGAGACTAATGAACTTTTTAGTATTCGTTAAATGATCGTTAAAATACTTTAGTCTATTTTTACATTTATATAATAATTCACCTAGTTATTTCTTTTATGTCGTAGATATATATCTAAATATATTAATATGTTTGGAAGTGGCAATACTAAATGTAATTTGACTGCGTATTGTGTACGAGAATCCCTAAGTGAAGTCTTATTCGCTATTGTTGATGAGTTTGAAAATTGCAGCGCTGAGATGCAGTACATTTAAGATAAGATTGTACGGATTAAGCAACAGTCGGTGATTTGAACGAAAAATTCTTAACGATATTCAGTTTATCTCGACGGTTGATTAAGTGAAGTGTTATTTAATGCACTCGAATCAGATGAAGTGTCATTGTCGTCATAAAGAAAACATTAATGTATTTGTAAATAATCATTTGCATTTGTCAGAGATCAGCTATCTTCAGTAATAAAAAAAAATCGTCCTATTTTCTTTAAAAGTTTTGACTATTATAAGTGCAAACCAACATTATGTCGGATATAGATAATATATTGACAAGTTTACAGCGTTTTTCATGGCTCGACTATGTCGTGTTCATAGCTATGTTTGTGATGTGCATTTTAATTGGAATTTATTTCGGTTTTATGAAAAAGTCCCTTTCGGAATCGGACTACCTAATGGGTGGTCGTAATATGCTCGTATTGCCTATAGCTTTATCACTTGTGGCTAGTTTTGTATCAGGTATAACACTACTAGGATTACCCACAGAAGTCTATTCATATGGCATACAATATACGTATGTTGCACTTGGTGTACTTGCTATGGGAGTCGTGATGGGTGTGTTCTATCTACCTGTTTTTCATAACCTAAATATTACTTCCACGTATGAGGTAAGTGAATTTCCATCACATGAACGACAAGTTTATTGTCCTAATAATCTTATGTTAACAATGTAAGTATAGCAATTTGCAGTTTAACTATGTTATATAAAGTAAATAAATAAAAAAAATTATTAAAACAATAAAAGTAATCTATTCCTTTTGAAGAAATTTTTTAAGAAACAATGATTTTTATTATGAGCGTATAAAATTTTATTTTCACAGTTAATATTTACTGCTATTTTTTTTTAATAAATTAAAGTTAGATTGCAGTTGCTATTTTTATTTGTTTAAAAAAAATTTAAAATTAAGTTGATTTAAATCTTCACCGAAAAGCAGTCGCAGATAATGGACAATAAAGATATTCAAATCAATTTTGGTACAGAATGTACCTATATTTATATGGGAGAATATATAAACTTACATATTGATTCAGGTTAAAGTTTAGCTTTCATATAAACTGTTAAGTCAGACACAGGTTTTTGTTAAAAAATTTTTTTATTTTCTAATATTTGTACTCTAAATTCGTAATTTACGCATAACTTGGTTGGACTTGAATAAAACGTATCACTATATTCTATAGCTGCCATTAAAACTAAATAATCAAATAATTTTCACTATTTTTAATAAAAATACTCAAGTAAAATTTTGCACAGAATGTACTTATATTTATATGAGAGAACATACAAAATTTTATTAATTTCAGTTTAGATTAAAATATAGCATTTCATATAAGTTGCCGATTCAGACACATATATTCCTTAGAATAAACTTTATATTTTTATATATTCATTATCTATTTAGAATTTAGATGTTTGTTATGGAAGATAAAATATTTTTGGTAAAAATGGTATCGATCGGTTCAGATTTGCTTATACCTAATATTAGTCTAACAAACTGATATTTTCAGATTCTTCTAATTCTATATATTTCTATATACTGCCATACATATTTAAAGCTTCTCCAACTTTAATGGCTAATGATATATAAACATGAACAAAAAATTATTGGAACTCTTATTAATATTATTATACATATATTATATGCTTCCCTATACTATATAGCATATGCTTTCCACTTAAATTTAATTGGTCTCAGATCACTTTAGTGTTTTTGTGTTTTATTTAGATTCTTTGAAGTTAAAAATACTCATCGATTTATTATAATAAACATATCAATGTAAATAAAATAACTGGAACTTGAGCAGCCTTGGCTTCTTATAAAAAAACACGATTAGTTATCGCTTCTAATTTGACAGGTACGAGTTCTAAAGCTGGCACTTGCAGTCCAAAAAAATAATATATGGACTATAAACTAATTAAAAAGGTATTCGAATATTTCCTATCAATACCACTGATGATGAGTACTTGGCAATACTCGAAACAGACCATACAACGGTCAACCAAATTTCAATAAATTAACTAAAGTTTTGTCTTTGTATTTTTTTTGCTATTCGAATCCGTCTAACTTTTAAATAAAATTTCTTTTCATACTTAAATATGGTTTCGTTTAAAAACAGTTAACAACTTAATTAAATAAATTCAATAATTTAAACTGAAAACATACAAATTTATGTTTGTTAATCAATTACTTGCCAATTAAAATTGATTTGTGCAAATGTTAGTGCATGTAAATCAATCAATAATTTTATGTCAAATAAATGTTAAAATAAATGAATTATTGTTATTAAATAATATTTTATTAATTTATTGAAATGCCTATTTATTTACCCATTGTCGCTTTATATGAAATATTTATTTATTCATGCAAATTTTTCACAGCTCATTGAAATTCGTTATCTTTCACACTTAAATTTCGTCATGCACTGCGAATTATTTTTATATATTGTGCAAATAGTTCAAAATATTTTTACTCACTGTGTAATCGTTGAGAATGAAATATACAGAAACTACACAAATTTTTATTTTGACAAACTGTTCTCAACGTTTCCGTAGTGTAGTGGTTATCACGTGTGCTTCACACGCACAAGGTCCCCGGTTCGAACCCGGGCGGAAACATCACAACAGAAGTTTTTTTTTTTAAATATTTATTTTTTGTACACCAAAATTAGAGCACAGTTTATTTTTTTAAGATTTGGCAGCATTATGTCAGTGTTAATATATAAATTATTATATTAAAAATTTTTAATTTAAATTAGAATAAATTCTTAATAAAATTTTTAGGTATATAAACGTGTATATATAATTATTTAATTATTATTTAAAAAGTAAGATTTGTATACATTCGTTTAATAATTGTTTTATATTATTTATTAATTTATTTTTATAATATCAAATGTTTTTATTTAATCTTTTTATTTTTTAGTACTTGGAAATTCGCTTTAACAGAAGTTCTCGAATGTTTGGTTCACTAATGTTTACAATAATGAATGTAAGTTTTTAAACTATTTAACTAATAATATTCTCAGTAATTTTTTAAAAATACAAACAATCAATTAACTAATATAAATAATTAATTTATTTGTAGTTAGTTATCTATAATTTATTAGAACTAATAAGAAACAACTTCTATTAGATTTGCTATCTACCGATTGTTATATATGTACCAGCTCTGGCCTTTAATCAAGTAACAGGCGTAGCAGTACATACAATAACTCCTATTGTATGTGTCATTTGTGTGTTCTATACCAGTTTGGTAAGTAAAAAAAGAAAGAATATAATTTAATACGTCTAAGTTATATGTAATTCAACTAAATAATATATTTATAATATATTTATGATGTAGTACAATTGTAACATAAAATATATAAATAATATAATATCAATAGCGACACTATTACCTGTACTTTTTAATAAATGAATTCAGTCGGACGAAAAATGCTTATAGTTTAAAAGACTTTTTTGGTTGATCTATAGCAGATTTTTGATACATAACTCTTCTAATACCTGAACTCGGTGGTAAAGAAAGACTCTTTAGCTTTGAAGGAGTAAGTTAAGAAACTGTCTTCATTAAGATACAAAAAAAATGCTAATGGGGTATATAAGATTGCCATTTAATTTTAAAAACTTCTTCTAAATTAATTGTATCTTTTTTAACATTTGCTATTAACTACAGTTTTCATTATCTCAAGAAGGCTAAAATCGTTCCAATTGAAAGAGGGTGCATGTATCTCCTTTTTTCAACTTTTGTCTAATTAGTTTTTTTTCCTCTCTCTCTCTCTCTCTCTCTCTCTCTCTCTCTCTCTCTCTCCAAACCACACTCTAATATTTAGTCAATATATCAAACATAAAATTATTGCACTACTGCAATGCTAAAGGTTGTTGAATGTGTTCGGTTTAACTATGTTCAGAATTTCGTAATTTAGTTAAGTCTTCGATTTATTTTAAATTTTATTATGGCAGAATAGTTGAAAGATAAGAAGTACTCAAATCGTTCCCGATTATCTAAGAAAGCCTTTTTAAATGCACATTACTTAAAATGTCAGATAGAGAGAGTTACACATTTTAAAACCATTCGGACTTATTAATAAATGCAATACTTTTGCCTTCCTGTTTTTTTAAATAAACTATTTCTCTTTTTTTCTTATCAATCCGACTCAAAATTTGTTTCTAAGTATTCTCTACAGAAGAAACTAGACATTAAAAAAAAGTTTTTCAATTTCAAAACTCTTCAAGCTTGGGTAGAAGAATATTGGATGCTGGAATCACCTTTGGTTTATTATTATTTTTACCACTTATTATTACTTATTATTTCGTTTATTATACTTTGATTATTATATTCTATT